CAGGAGGCAAAAAAGTGGCGGTCATGGGCTCTATTAAATTGGCAATGTGCCACAAAACTGGAGCAGCACGCCGAAGCAATCCAGTTGAAACCAAGCCGCTTTGAAAACATATCCAACATATTGCCTAGGGTTCTCTTATCCCTTGACCCACATTCAAGCGCACCCACATTCAAGCACAGTCTGTGGACCCACAGGCCCAAAGCTACCCAGAGGCCAACTGCCAGAAACAGGGTGGCAGTCGTTGTCCCACAGGAAATCTGGCGCATCGGCAGCGCCCAAATCAGAACTTGTGAACTGAGCACAAATCCCATTGCGTAGTGAATTCCGTAGCAGAAAATGCGCCATTGGCGCCACAGTATATTGTTGACAAGTGCAACAATGACCATATCTATACAATTTTGTGACTGTGCACCTTTTATTGACAGTCGTGGCAGAGGGAGAGGCTGCTAATTACAGCTACAACACGGGTGCCATGCTGACTTCAGCTGGAGGGTCGGAACCCTCTGTGTTTTGCGGAAAGGACAGCAATGACATTGGGATTGTACGTATCCAAAGGGCGCAGGGAGGGCGCCACTGCAAGCACTCAAGGTGGAAGGAATTGTCGGATTGATTCCTTGAAAAGACAGCGACGATGGTGGATCTTCAGAACTAGACGGTGAGATACACATATTCCACGCAATGGTTTTTGATAAACGAGCAAGGGACGCAGTCTGCAAAGGCATTTCGGATGGGCACGGCCAAAGACGGAACGCCCCGCCCATTCTCGCATCCACCAATCTCATCGCCTTCCCAAGCTGCTGGGAAGGAAGGGGGGGCGGGTCGACGCGCCAACAGCACCGCAACTTTGTCTGACGGCTATGGATAGCGGGACCTTTGCTGCAATTTGCCCGCTGATGTGGCCCACGCATGCTGCTGTCTCAGAATATAGCTGCATGATCCGTTGTGAGTTCGCAAGAATGAATTATCAACAAGAATGTCCAAAAAAATCAGCTAAGCAGCAATGTCACAATGCTCAGTAATTTTTGTGGATGTTGTGAAAGAGACGATCGAAGAACCGCAAAATCAAATATCTTACCACAGTTGGTCTTAAAAGGAAATTTGGTGCAGCAGCCAGCAGTTCTCGGCCGCTAATTTCGCGTCGAGGCTAAACGATTCTACTGCACTAGTATACGCGTATATTCTTTCCAACTTCGCGCCCAAAGAATGACGTTGGACGACAAACCCACCCTGACCGTCAGACGGTGACCCTGGGCCATGCGCTGAACGAGCATCGCAGCCAACCCCCACCCACCTCCTCACGATTTTGGGCGAAAGTGCTCTGCTAAGGAACTGCTGCTTTGGATTGAAAACATGCATTGCAATCTAACACTGTAAGCCTTAAAGTCAATGGCGCCTATAATTCCCCCTGAACCTACAAAACAGGGGAGATAATGGGATGTGTCGATACTTCCGTATTGAACATCGAGATTGGCACAGATGCATCACCCCCAAAGCAGCAAGCCTACCTGATCACTAGGACAAAGCGCCAAATAACACGTGTTCAAACGTGGACAAAGTTCACAGGTTTGGGTTGTTTTTGTGTTCTTAGCGTGCAGAGCTTTGACGAAATCTGTTTTGTGTGTGTTCGGAAAAGTGTGATTTGGTCCTTTTTTTGCTAGTGGATAGGGTGTTAAGCAAGGAACACTGACTGACTCAGTAAGTAGGTTATTTACCATTTTTATGGTTGGTTAATATTTTTATGGCTGCTTCTTCCGAAATCTCGATTTGCAGGTGAAATCTTGGTCTGAAAAGACATTACGTGCTCCCCTCAAATGTATGCTTTGCGGCTTTCCAGAGACCAATATTATCAACAACCCGACCAAGTTTATGTCCCAGCAACTGGTGCGCCTTCCCGGTCTCCGCCCATACGTTGCTGGCGGTGCGCCCGTCGGCAGCCGACGCTCGGCAAGCGCCTCCGGGATGTCGATGGCTGCTGTCAACCGCCATGCAGTCAACGATCGTTAACTGTGACAAATCGATGTCCATGTCGCGAAATGGACATCGATTTGTCACACTTCGCCACAAATCGACACTGCGATCACTGACGATTAGGAATCGGAATTCTGCGCGGGAACCGTATTCTGCGCAGAACTGTGGAGCCTCGATTTCGGGGAAGTGCGAGCTTTGCGTTGCGTTGAGTGGTGCGATCAGCAACTGATGGCCCCCTATCTTACCGATTGGACAACCCAAGCTGACCAAGGCAGTCAATGCCCGGCGGAAGGGGTTCCCCTTGGCCCGCGACGTGTTCCGCGAAGCGCCTCGGCCGGGCCCGTGCGCCCTCCTCCAGCCGAGAGCCGTGGTGCCAGTGACCGTCTCCCTATGCACCGATTTCCATTCAACAGCTGTCCTCCGGGCACCTGCGGCACAACGCGGATTGCTCTGTCCGCACCGGCTTGACGAGAAACCAAGACGCAAGGCAGAGTGCACGCACGCGCCGTGGATCCGCACTGTTCGCTTGTGTGGGGTAAGGCGGCCACCTCAGCATCGCCTGGAAGGTGATGTCCGCCATGTGTACATCCACGGTGCGCCTTTGCGCTCCGCTCTGCTCTGTGTCTCGCCCTTGCGTGCGCGCAAATCCCCACTTCCAGAGCGGTCGACATTCAGCGGCCAGCGACGCTGGGTCCACAAGCCTAACGCCGTCCCGCCGCGCTGAAAACCAGCGTCGCACGCTCGACGCAGCATCGGCGTCGATACGCCAAGGGTTCCCCAGCGCGCTCATCGGACAACTATTCGATCAACTCCCAGGCGCAGCGACCTTCGTCCTGCGAGCCTCCGCTCCGTTCCAGCGCTCCACATCTCCCCGAAACAGCGACGCGACCAGGAGGCCCAATTGCGAAACCCGTGGCGCCGATCCGGGGCACGCTTCGGATCGTCATGAGGCGCCTCACGACGTTTCCCGCTATCCACCCACCTGGCAGGTGAGGTGCTTGATGATGGATTCGAGAGGCCGCACACCTCCTACGCCCGGTTCACTGGGCCTCTGGGCGGCACCCCAGACCGGAGGTCGTGAGCGGGCGGCGCGCCAGCGCCCCCGCCACCGAGGCCCACCAGGTGCGCACAGAATCTGTCGAGTGGGTGCTCGACTGGTCTGCCACGAGCGTGGGCAGTACATAACGCAGCTGTGCGGCTGGGAGCCTCGCGGGCATGACGAGAGCACCTTGGTTGGCCCCCAAGTTCCCAGCCAGCAGGGACGGTATCCGCCGTGATGGGCGCCCATCCGTCGCCCATCGACTTGGAGGTTCACGGCGACGACGATTCCGTTCTCGTGCATCACTGGAAGACCGCGCTGGCCCCCCCAAATCGTCGGTGCATCCCGAATCAGCCAGCCAGTACATTGGCCCATCAATGGAAATGGCTTGCAGTTCGGCGTGCGCCGGTGCACACATCTGCATGTGCTCGCTCATCACCCAGCCACTTATCCCCTCACACACAAACCGCCCGCTGGGGACTCTCCCTCTCCCCTCGGACCTTCACCTCAACCCCCTCGTCCACGTCATTCCCCCCCCCGGCGAGCGGGCGAAGAGCATCTTGGACCTGTTAAGATACAATTGTGTGAACCTTGACGGATCGCATGGGATGGCGAAAACGTGAGCGACATGGGACGCTTGTGTTGTCGCCGCCCGTGCAGGGAATTCAAGAGGCCAATGAGACAGCGGCATCCAACAGACAGCATGACTGCAACTGAGCGCGCATCGGCGCCGACCAAACAAATTGCTGCATCGATTTGGGCAGCGTCGGTTTGCTCCAACGAGATGGGAGTGTCCGCAAACGTCATGACGGAAAACGGGTGAAGCATCAATGCCGACCAGTGCGGCCGTCCATACGACCATCAAATGGGAGGGAAGAACACACGTTTCGGCCAACCAAACGTCGATGCACATGATAGCAATTAGCGCAGATCAGGTGGACGCCGAATGTGGACGGGGGCTCCAACGTCCCACCCACTTCATGCCATTCTCCACTCTATATCAACCCCCCCCCCGCGGTTCCCCGCTCTTTACTTCCGGTACTGAACGTCAGTGTATAGTACAGACCGCAAGTACCATAGAAGCCCAGGCGTGGGCTGGCCAGGTTGTGACAGCACCCCCAACGAACCCAACTCTAAACTCTGTCTGAGATCCCAGCGCCATGGTTCCTCCCACGCTACCGGGCACCCTCCCATGTCTTCGGCCACTGCCCTGCTCTTTTGATAGTTTGTAGTCTATAGGCCTGGCCCCCTCCCAGATTCGGCCACTGGCCCGGCCCCATTCGCTGGATCCGCGCCTTCTGCCCCAGTTCAGCGGGCCAGGGTAGTCTGGTTCTTGCGCCCAGGGCGCCCAGATTTTCTATACTCTGGAAGTAGCCCGCGGTGGGTTGACGTGGAGGTAATCTGGCAGGAAAGGAATCAATGGGCTACTTCCGAGCGACCGTGGAATGTCCACCTCGAAAGGAAAATACTGCTGCGAATTTTGCTGCGATGGTTGTGGAAATCGGTAGAAAGGATGACTGGACCCTTGTCGGTCTCGGCCGCTGCAAAGTCGGAATCAGTGGTGCGTTTATGGACACTGGTTACAGCCAGCGCATCTCTTCTCTACTGGAAGCTTGCAGCACACCTACAAAGCGATCAACGGTTTGGGCTTGCGTTGTATAAGCAAGAGGCGCCCTGGCCTCTGTGGTCCAAGCGTCTTCTGAATAACATACTGACCTGACTGATTGATCAATAATTGACTGACTACGCGACGGGTGGGTTGGCGGACTGCGGCCAAAAGCGGGCAGCACAAGGTGGCTTTGCTGCGCCATGTGCCAAGGGCTGCCAGGAACAGAATTCAAGCACATTTCAAATACACAGCCGGCACAGATCTGACATTGGCATTAACGTGGCAACAGCGCACCCCTTTGCACGCACAAGCCACGTTCACAACGTTCTCTGACACATTCGGCACTGGACTGCCACTGTGCAGAGAAAGTGAAACGCCCATGATTCATTCAAGAGGCAAATCAGCTTGGGTGGGGTTGTACTCGTAGTGCAAGTCTCCCACATCCGACCCCAACATCTTCTTCCATCCGTCCGGAGTGATAAGGTATGCTGAAGGGGCACAAACAAACCAAGCGGGGATTTCAGCTCTGGGCGTGCAACGCTGGGATCGATTTCATGCATGTAGATAAACTGCAATTGCGCAAGTGGGAGATGACGCTGTCCTTGCAGCAATTATGTTGTGTGGCTGCTGTCCACGACAGCAAGAACATATTTCAAAGTGCTCCTGCTCTTGGTCACTGCCAGAAATTCATGGCAGGAAAATTGTGTTTTTCAATGCTGAAGGAGCAGTGCACTGCGACTGTGCTGGTGGCTTGAACAATTCATAAGGTTTGAAGCATACAGTGCTCAGCATCCCATAACCCAGCATCTACCTTGGCTGCAGAAAGAAATCTCGTCCATTGTCGACAATTGCAGTCATGAACCAAAACAACAACACAATCCATCTCTGGGGAGCATAGTACAGGGCGCACAGTGGTTCAGCATAGATACCTTTAGGGTGGTTCAGCACAGAAACTGCAAAGTGCTGAACTAAAATAAGTTCGCCTTCTGGGAAAGTTCAAGGCATGTGGTTATTCAGTAGTTCACACACTCAAGCAAACAATGGAAGTTGGTGGTGGTGGTGGGAAACTTGGATCACCACGGAGGTGTTGTTTGTGGACAGCTAACCATGTTTCCTGTGGGAACGTGTCACAGGATGGGAACTTCTGCACAGGGTTTCTAATAGACACAAAGCACGTCCTTTGCGAAAATGAACGCACAGTGAATCCTGTACGAGGGATGGCATCATCGTGATCTTCATTGTGATCATCATGATTTCGCGATCATTATGCACTCACCACTAACTGTCCCTCCACTTGCAGCATCCCTGTAGGTGGCTTGGTAGATTGACCTCCTTGCCAGCTCAAGGGCCTCATCGACTTCCAAATCCCTGTTGCAGCAGTGCAGCCATGGTTTAGGCATCACACAGCCATAAATACCCATTTTCGGCAATAAGGGAGTAAGTGATGTCATGGCAATATACAGTGTGCAAACAATGCAAAAAGAACTACAAAGAAGTGCTGCTTGATGGTTGCCAGCAAAAGGCAAACAAATGCTGCCCTTTCCAACTAGCAGGCCTGCACTCATGGCTGCCGGTGAATTGCAGGCTTCCCTACACGTTCTTTTTTGCCATACGCTTTGTTTTGTTACAGTGCATTGGCAGAAATTAGCAACTTTGGTGGAAAAGAAACAAAAATAAAGTCTGTGGGACTGTAATGGTGATCCTGTGTCAAGGACAATTGCAGCTCTGTCACTGAATGGTGAAGCAAGAGCGAATCAAGGCACGGAACTGTATGTTCATCTACTTTTTTCACTTGGCACCACCTGTGATCCACTGCTGTCAGTTGGCCTTGTGTTGACTAATTGCCACTGACACAGCACGATCCTTTAGACATGCACTGGACCAGCAATCCTAATATCAGCAGCTTCCACCAGGTTGGGGTGTCCAGCAGGCCATTCACTCTGCCACTTCATAAATTACAATTCAATCACACCAGTCACAACAATTCTTGCAGCCTAATCTCAGCAGTTCCCTCTTGCTCAGACAGCGCAGCAATGAACAACTGAAAAATGAACAAACAACTCAGCTATGCAGACTATTTTTCCTGTCCACTACATATGTGCAGGCGTGAAAATCAAGTCTGCTGGCCAAAGACATGGCTGAGACAAAGCTCACAACTACATGGGGAATAACATGACCAGGCACCTTAAAGGGGATGGACGGCTGAGCTTGCTTTCTTAGTGCTGGACCCTAAACAAGTCATCCATAAAACTCGCATACATACACACGTGCAGAAACGCCCCAGTTGCATTGCAGCATCAGTGCCATACAATGCCCTTGTGCTTTTCATGGGATGTCCAACACCAATAACACTAGCACACTGGCATCAGTACAATAGCATCAACTATGGCAGGGAGCTTCAAGCCCATCCAAGCCAAAAACTTGCCACTTGTATCCATCGTCCAGGACACTGTAGGCATACAAGGATCCCGAGCCGCAGGAAAACACTTTCCCACTGCTCCTTTGTGCATCAGTATCCATGTAGTACAGTGCTGGCCCAGTCTCTTCATCCCAGCCTGCAAGCATCATGCCCTGAAAACAGGTGGCAAACAAACAGTGAGCAAAATTTCCCAATGAATTTTCACAGGATGAAATGATTGAAGGGCTGCAGCTGCTGAGCTGGAAAGATTCTGAGGCATGAAGAGGCAAAGGAAGGCATTGCAACAGCCCTAAGTATTCAAATGGAGGTTCTTGGAGACGAGCACACATTGGTGGTACAGAGTTGGAACCATCTGGGACGTGTTTTCCTTATTCTTGGACAATTTTCTAAGGCCCAGGGGATGCATCCAATGACAATTCTTCCAGATAGGAGCAGAGAGGGCTGTCCCTACAGTTAATGTGGTGCCCATTCTGTCTCTACCCTACAAGATGGGGGCAATGCACAGGCACAATATGGATGTACTGATCGTGCACGACATTTGTCAACAGCACCCACCATTGACAATCCCATGCCCTTGTATTGAAAGCAGACGTCAGACAGTATCTTGGACGCGGCCCTCACAGTGATGCGCTTGCCATTATCCAGCTCATAAAGCCGACACTGCAATGCCACATAGTCACAGGTTCAGTCTGCTTTAATATCTGTCACAGCGCAACCAAGCACTGTCCTTGCCCCTGCCAGACGATGATGGGTGCTGTTCACCTCCATAAGTACTTGTGCTCAGAGGGAACAAACGTGTGGATACACAATTAAGTTGGACTTACAATCGTGTGGAATAAATGGACTTGTCAATACTCCTCAAAACCCAGCTACAGGTTGCTTTTGGCTGCCAAGCAAAGAGCTCCCAATTCTTACCTTTTCATGCTCCAGGAAAGCCCCAAGTAGGCATTTTATTAGTTTTGATGTCACACCCACAATGCCACACCACCATTGTTGCCCATTTGAACTTGCTATGCAAGCACTGACCTCACTTGTGATGCAAGCCCTGGAATTAATAAAGCAAAGTATGTGCCTTCTAAGGAGATTTACAGCTTGACCAATCACTCCACGCACCATACCTGCATCCCAAGGTACCGCCCCCAATACTGACAGTCGCATGCTGCCCCAGCAATGGTTGCTAGAAGGCGGTTGTTGATCTCCAGAATCTTGTGCACAGTTTGGGAAGCTGCAGGCATGCAAAGAAGTCAGTGGCCACAGAAAGCACGATTCACTGACTCAAATTCAGAGTTTCTTCTTTCCAAACTTCACAGTATCATCCACTCACATTTGCCGAAAGCAGTGTACACTACGCAGTATTAAATTTTAAAAGGTTTGGGCCTTGCGACAACTCGATGAATTGCATGTTACACTATGTTACAGTTCATCATTACATGCAAGTGTATTGACTTTTGTATCCTGTGCCATGCAAAGCATGGGCAGCGGATACAAATGGCCATCACAAATGATGGTCAGAAAACTTAGCAGTGGCACATATTCTCCACAGAGTTGTGCATGTTGTCACTATTTATGCCTGGCCTTGACAGGGAACGACTGTGCCTTACTCACACCTGTCCATTCGCAAGGGTTGATTAAATTCTGATTGTGAAGCGCCTTGAATCTTGGTTCGATCGCCAGACAAAATTCAGCCTTTTGTGGACTATTTTTGCGGGTCCGCAGCAAGGAACCATTGCTATGAACGTGCAGCCTTGTGTGGTGATTCTTTCCCTATACACGTGCTACCCTGTGCTGACACTTTGCATCACGTCTAATCCTACTGCCCAACGAAGCAAATGCACCATTCCCTGCAGCATGGAAAGGGCTTCCACCAAACTTCTTGCCCAGGGGTGCCACAATCTGTTGCATCACTCACATATGTAGGACCCCATTGTGGCCCTCGAGTCAGCAGCGACGATGATGCCCTTCTTGAATATGAACGCCAGCGTGGTGGTGCCGTGCAGGGGCTTAGCGAGCTTCATTGCCTCGCGTTGGAAGTGGTCGAACTGTCGTAGGTGCAGCGGCAGTGGCGAGTTAAGGTTCGGATAGCTGCATGTTCAGGGTAGGGTGCTGCCAAAGAATCGTAGCAATGATCGCACAAGCTCAGCTGGGCGGCAGGGAGGTGAGACTAAGAATCCGACGGCGGTGGCTTCGTGATCGCAAACCAGGGCAGCTGGCGATAGCCAAATGGGAGTTCAGATCCCAACCAACGGACAAATGGGCTGTGGCGAAACTCGACCGCAACAGCCGAAGTCGCGGCCGAGCCTCAATCCCCGAAAGCCAAAAGGATTCAAGTTTCCTATTCGGATTTTCCAGATCCAGTTGCCCCCGTCTATAATCGCCCGCTTGGGCGCTCGGGGAGCCCAGATGGAATCAAGCAGCCCAACGAAGGGGTCCCGATGCTCCCAGATCCCGCCCAGAATTCCCTGTTTCGAGCCTTCCAGCCGCGACCAGCCCCAGCAAGCCCCATTCTCACGCACTCACGTCTCTCACGCTGGGCAGCAGGAAGGAGTCGGTCTTTATGTCCACCGGGACGATTCTCTTGTGGGCGTCATCGTGCTCGCGACCGCGCTCCAGAACGGACAAGTCCAGCTTCATGTCGGGGGCGGCTTCCCTGTGGGCGAGCGCGGGGGCGAGGCTGCAACTTTTGCAGGTGGGGGGTGGCCTCCAACTTGGCAGGGGGCTGGCACGGCTTGGGACAGCAAGGCTGTGGAGCCTTGGGGGTTTCACGCCCAGACGTTTTTTTTTTTTTTTTTCTCCGAAATCTGTGATGTGTCTGCAATTAGAACAGGTTTCGCGTTGCGCGTTACGACTGGGAGGGAGAGGCGCCTCCTGTACTGAGGAAGGCATTGTTTCAATTCACGATCAGCGTGCTTGGCCCAATGGACGCTTTGGGTCCATGAACACTAAGGCATTGCCCAATTGTATCAAATCAAAATACCTACGCGACACTCCACACAGCATGAGCAAGCACGGAAGCGACGCGCGGCCGCGACTTGTCCCACCGGTTAATGTACGGTAGGGGTTTTGCTTATGCGGTTACAGGTTGCAATACATACATAAATTATCGCAACTTACATCACAACCTGCAACTACATGAGTCGAACCCAAACTGCACCATCACCTTGTCATCGGAACCGACTACATGGAGCCATTTTCTAGTCCGGATTTCCGAAATTTCGGCCAGTCCTCAGTCATGGTATGGACGCATCATTGGACCGATTCTAGCCTGATTTCAGTTCGAAGGAAGTTGCATCAGTTGACTCGCAATCTTTTCACGGTATCTACAAAACGACTGCACATCGAAAACGTCATTTCATGCCAAACCTCGAGGAATGAACTATAGTTCAGACTCATCAAGCAACGCATGTAGATAGGTGTTTCGGGCTTCCAGCACAAGTTGCGGCGGCTGTTAGTACCCAACCCTGATCGTTGCTGATAGTTTCTGAAGCGGAAAGGGGGTCCAGGTGTTCCCAAACACGCTCTAAGCAGGATTCACTTTTATCCACTTTGGAACAAGTCCTGTGTCCGGAGCCAAGCTTTGGTGAAGCGGGCAGCTTGCGGCTGCCCGAACTGCGCTGAATCAGATTCAAAAACTCCTGAAGCCTTTCGCACTGTAGCCTTCGAGCCAAGCTGCACAGAATTGAGCAGCTCCACGGGGTGCAGCAATTTAGCGTTCAATGAGCGAATGCCTGACAACACGCAAAATTATTCCTTTTGCTTTTTTGCGATATTTTTATCCCCCCCGTCCCCTAACGCCCTCTGGCGCCAGACACATTTTCCGCCCCTGCCACTGACGGGCCCAACTCCCGGCCGTGCCCCCACCCCCGCACCCGCACCCGCCCGCCCGCGCGTCGCGCGGGCGGCGCCGCGCGCCCCAGCCATGCCGGTCCCCGGGGCCAAGCGCTCCGCCAAGATGCTCCGCCGCCTGGGCGCCAAAGTGGACAGCATCCGCGAGTCGCTGCAGCGGGCCAACACGCGCAGCATCGGCAGGCGCGCCAGCGCCGCCCGGGAGGAATCGATCCCGGGCGGCGTGGGGACGCTGCCGCAGTTCGTGCCCTTCCGGCCCTCAGAGCGGGACTCGTCGATCGTGGCCAAGCTGCACGAGGGGTACTTCGAGGAGGGGTTCGATCCCCTGGTGTACGAGATGGGGCAGCTGGGCGACTTTGAGGGACCGGCGGAGGTGGATGCGGTGGTGGACGCGCTGACGACGGCCCTGGAGGTCGTCAGCGCGCAGCTGTCCACCCAGGTGCTGGAGAACCACGACAAATTCCTGGAGGGCCTGGGCACCATCGCGGAGGTGAGGTGTGGCGTGGCGTGGCGTGGTGAATGCCCGTGACTCAGCGCCCGGTTGTGTGCTCCCGGCAGCCTGTCCCCGTTTGAGACCCCATCTGGGTGCGAAAGATTTGGGGTAATGGGATGGTATTGCGGGCATCGATGGAGCTTCTGCGCGGCTGGTGTCCGCGAATTGACGTTGACACACGGGCGGGTGGGGACGCGGGGGGAAAGGCCGGTGGAGGGACGATCTGCTTTGGGACATTGTGGACGGGAACGTGGGTGAGAGGCTGGTGTGGAGTTGCCTCTGGGGGTGGGGAAGGCTCGGCCACCGGGCAAACTGTTGGGCGCGGGTGGGATTGCCCAATCCTTGGTAGTGCATCGGTATGTGGGTGGTGCTGAGCCCCTCGTGACGTTGGCAGACAATTCCCTGAAACCAGGGGACTCAGATGGTTGCAAGGTAGGCAGAAACGTCGTCAAGTAGGCTTTCTGCCAAGCTTTGATCTCTTCATTAGCATCGGGGGGACACCCTGGATTCCTTTTGGCTAGGGTTTGCAGTTGTTGGGCAAGACAACGCCTGTGTGCCTTGAAGATGACAGCCGCCTGTGCTTCTTGCATCTTTGCTTGTTCCCACTGGGTAAGTAGGGGTGCCAGGCTTGGCTGCTGATGCCATTGCAGGTAGCTTGCAGGGAAGCCTGTCGGTTGCCCCATGAAGAGTTGGATCATAGCACAGTAAATTGTATCAGAGAATCTGAACCCTGCGGGAACAAACTCTGGAGGAGGGGAATAGTGTCTATCGTCGCCTTTCAGCTGCAAAGGTGCTGCCGTGTGTAGCAATGATAACCCAACCAAAAATAGACTGTGTGTAAAATCTTGCATTGTGTGACTGTCTGCCCGAAGGCCTGACGTATCCAGATGCATCTATCCTCCAAGGGCCAACTGTACCCTGCACAGGTCACTAGCTGAAATATGCCTGTCAACAGAAAGAAAATTTGCCAACAATGGATACCCCTTCCATGGAGGAATCGCAATGTGATAAACTTTTGTCCATTGTGAAGACGTTGTGGCTGCTGTTGACTGGGACACAAACACTACACATCAGATAGCTGTGTGAGTCGCGGAAAAGCCTATCCTTGAGTGGAGACAGGTCACGGTTCAAGAAAACTTATCAGACGACAGCAAGCACATCCTGCAAAGAAGTTTCTGGTGCAGGGTTGCCCAGTGGGCAATGTAGAATGGCAGAGTTGGACAAAAGGACCATGCCCCATTTTGCTGCGTTTGGATGCTCGTTTATGGCAAAGTGGCACGGTAGAATCAGCTGTAGAATGCAAAAGCAAGGTCAATGTTCACAGCACTGTGAGTCAGACAAGTCATCAGTCATTCAGATGAGCTGACAGGGTGAGGGCTGTGGGGAAGGAAGAGAAGTGCGTGGGCTCCCATTTTCAACTGGCCCAAATGAAGACAGAGGAATTGTGGCAGGGCAGAATATCTGCTTGATTGTAGGGGCACAGTCAGGTGCTTGTCAGTGCCCAACCTCAGTGATGCAAGAGCCCTCCCTCTGGACTGTCAGATTGTCTGTTGCCTTTGGCAATGTGGATCCACAAACTGGGGCTGCAGTTGGTCATTGTTCGCATTGAAGGTGTTTGAGACTGTGTACTCAGCTTTTGTCGACTGCAATGCACAACCCACAACCTTGATTTGGATATCATTGGAAAACTGGGCTACTAGTGCCACACATGTGATAACAAGCCGCACAATGATTGGATGTACTTTGGAAATCTAATCTCAAGCAGCCATAGGGAGTCATTATCACCATCTTGCTTCTGCAAATGCAGTGGCCATCGCCAAGTTTTCCAATCCCTCTGTATTTGGGCACTTTTGGGGAACCTGCTGTTTGCTGGATGGAACGGCCACATAGTTGGATGAGTCCATTCTGTCTGTGGCAGTGCCAACCCATTGCTGCAAAGTGTACCCGGAAGCAAAAGGAAAAGGAAATGATGTTTGCACTGTTTTGTGACAGGTTGAAGGTGACCTGCAGCAAGCCCACGTTGTTTCCGTCAATGCCCGCATAAACTTGAAGTTTGCTCAGGAGGAGGTCCGCACAAGTCTGAGGATCGCTGAGCGCACGCAGCAGAAAAAGATGTATGAGGATGTGCTCGAGGTGCTCATGAAGCTGCAGTGGATATCACACATGAAGGCAGACCTGCAGGGAGCACAGGAACAGGGGGAATATATGGAGGCATTCATGCTGTGTGCAGGTGCGTTGAGTTATTTTGATCTGAAGAACAAGCAGAAAGGAAGGTCATGCATTGATGCATGCTTGCCCAACAGAAATGCATTGGGCTGCTTTCCCCTTGCAGTGCTACAGGCCCGTCAAGCAGTCACAAGCTGTGCACTGGATGCTGTCATCCGTTTCAGCAACTGGGCCAGTTTGGGACATGGATAGGCCTCTGAGCAACCTGAACAGTGCTTGCCCCCAATGGAATCCAGGAGGGTGGGATCACCAAGGAGGATGGGATTCCCCTTGAAGTGTGATTGCTGTTTTGTATTTAGCCCTTCCATAGAGCTATTCTGAGTTTGCCTTCCTGGCAGAGCAACGGAAAAAAGAGTGCGATGCCACCTTTCCACAATGTATAAGACATTCCAATGGCACAGTAGGTGGAAACTTTTGCTTGGGGCCTGGATTCAGATTTATTTTGGATCCAGTTGTCTGATGCCATGCACACTGTAAAGCTGAAATAGCATGCATTTTCAAGGCATGGCTGAACACCATGTACACATGTCTGTTATGTGCGCTCCGTATGACATAGACTCGTGGCTTGCACAGCACACCTGCAGGAATAACCTCCCAAGTCGCCCATGTCCACTGAAAAGCAGTGTGAGCTTGCTGCCTGCTTACTACCAAAATTCTCTGTAAGCCATGTTGTCTTTGAGCTTGCTTGTAGAAGTCTCTCTCGCTTCATGGAAGCATGGTCAGTGGATGACTTGTCCAGTCAAGGGAAACCTGTCATGTTCCTTCTGTCTCGTTGCAATGAAGGTTGATCATACGATGATGTGTTCACCAGTCCCTGTTGCACTCAGTGACTCCACATCATACAGCGCTGAAAGGAATCTCGCAGGTGAGATCTCTTGATCTCACAGGTGAGAACTCTCGATCTCAAAGGTGAGAACTGGAAGTAGGTGTCTATTATGTGACAATTTTCCTTCTCTTCTGGCTGGGAGACAGATCTATTTCGTGCAAATGACACTTTGTCAGTGCCCAGTGTGTTGCTGCTCATGGACAACTCTGAATTTGGTGGATAGTTGATCAACTGACGTGCATGCACAGAGTGCTTCGATGCTCTGGAGTCGATGGGGGACGTGCAGTTTGCAGTGCAGTTGAAGGCAGGAATCCATGGAATGTACATGGAGACGGTGGACCGCCTTGACTCCTCCCTGCGAGCTGTGTGCAACGACTTTGAAGACATGGAATATCAAAAGATTTTGGGGGGATTCATGTTCCTGGGCACCAGCGTGCAGGTGATTCATGACCTCTTTGTCTTGGAGGTGGATGGGTTGCCTTTGTCCGATTGCTGAATTTGCATCAAACGACTTGCATATCTGGATAGCGTGTTCTGGCAGGTTGCAAATATGTCTTGTTCGGAATCAAGTGCTGAAGTGTGGAAACAGACAGCTCAGCAGGGCAATCAGCAAAGACCGAATTACCATTTCAACGACAGTTGGGACTTGAGATTGGGAAGTTCGCATACCCTGGCGATCGGCACATATGTGATTAGAGAAGTTTTTTAGCGGGCAAGCTTTTTGTGATTGAATAAATGTATGGCGGCAAAACAGCAAGTGCTGATGAAGGGATTTGTGCACACGGTTGCACAGGAGATCTGCGACAAGATCCTGCATTGCTACCAGGAGCTTGTGAATGGGCATGCGACCAAGGTGGTACGCTCCGTGCTGGCCACAACCCCCAGCCTGGCTAATGCGGCGGTTACCACGGACTGGGATGTACCTTTTGCTGAGGTGGCCAAGTCTGTGCCCTTTCATCTGCTAAGGCCGTGCCTGTCCAAGCTGCTGGAGATCCTGTTTGGCGTGCTGCAGAGCTACCACAGGATGGATGTCTGGCACGAGTCTGTGCTGCGAGAAGGGGGCCTTTCGGGAATCCAAAATGGTGTGCAGAAACAGGCATTTGCGGAGCCACCGGAAGAGGCGCCCACAGACTCCTCAGAGGTTCCTTCGAACAGCATCGGCCAGGAGTTTCCAGAGGGCAGCTCACGGGACCTTGAAGCCATGGAGGAGGCCCAGAGGGAGGCACTGGCAGTGGTGCACGCCACTTTGGGGCAGTCCAGCAAGCTGGTGTGGGAATCGTGTGCACGACGAGTTCGGGACCTCCTCAATGGGCCTTCTGCTTTTGAGGGCGAACACTTCCTGCAGGTATTGGAGGGTAGGAGAATGCTGGAAGGGCTTTCCTTCCTTTGTCTTATTTTGACAAAGAACTGTACTTGCATCTTCCAGGCAACAACAGGTGTATCCATGATTCTCCTCTTGCAGAATGTTTGATCTATACCCCTGAGATGTCCAGAACATGGCTTGAAGATGGCCCTTGCTGTTTCCTTGTTGATGATCTGAAAAAGTGCCGCTGATCTCAATTGACTTGCGGATTTCGACGATAATCAATATGTGCAATCGTAAGGAGAGACAGCATACTGCAGTTTGCTTGAGAAACAGCGTACTTGCTGAGTGCTGCTGTCCAACCTTATGCAGGGCATTGGGAGTTAGCCATTTGCACAATGTTCCCTCTGTATCTCCAGGGCATGGACCGTATAACAGTGAAGAATCTTAATGTGGCCTTGTTGCAGTGACATCCCTTTCTGCGATTGCCAGCGATCGGCACTTTGACAATTGCTGGTTAGCACTGTGTTTTGTGTCCGCAGTCCCTGGAAATTTCTTGCTAGATATCAGTGTCGTTCATTCGCTTGTCCTGATGATGTGCACTGTGTGTGACCATTTGGGGCTGTTGTGAGCTGCAAACAGCAATCAAAGGTATTATTGTATGGTTACCTATGGCAGCGACAATTGTTTGCCACCTTTGCGGGTCTGTAGCCTCCCTCAAGCGCCTGTCACCATTGTCCACAACAATCTGAGATCATGGATTTGGTGTACGTATTGGTATCATGTTGGGGTTTCGTTTCATCGGTGTGTGTGTCTCATCTTGCTTGCCAGGTGCACAATTGCAGGCAATGGGCCTGTGCTAGACGTTCTCTGCAATTGGGTTCCACGAGATACGATAGACTTTGTGCTGGCTCCACCAGCTCTGTCGTACGAATGATTGCCTCACAATGCTGATCATGTGGATTTCAGGTGATGGAGCTGTGCCAGAGGTTCTCTGCTGTGGGGGAAGCCTTCATTGGCTCTGAGTCGGAGACACTGCGCTCCACCATCACAGAACACTGTGGGCGTTTCTTTGACTCCTACCACAGAGCAAGCATGGAGGCCCTGGGGCAGCTGCTGCGGTCGGAGCAGTTCGTGGACATATCTGGACCGGGAGACGAGGGCGGTCGGGTGTCCCTGGCCGGGAGTGCGCCCCATGAGGCCAAGGTCGCGGCAGACTTTGACATGCTGGTCGAGCGGGGAAACCCCTTCCGATTGGGTGGGCCAGTGTGGGAGGATGGCCAGGAGGAGCCGGCCGAGCTGTGGGAGGACAAGATCGATGAGGATGGTGGCGGGGAAAGGATGGGACAATCGAGCAGTGAGCCGGGGCAGCCCTCAGGCAGCTCTTCCCAGGGCTGTCTGACGAACTCAGCACGGAAGATATTGAAGTGGATGTCAAACTATGTGACGCTGATGCGTCCACTGCGGTTCAGGGCAGGGGACGTGTTTGGTGGGATGTGTGACCTGTTTGATGCCTATTTGTTGGAGGTGTTCCTGTTTGCTGGGGGCATGAGTTTGGAGGAGCTGGTTTGGGAGCAGGAGCTGACAACCACACGGCTGCAGTCCACCCTGTTGAGGATCCTGACCAGGGAGGGTAGTCGGCACAGGGATGAGGTTGAACGGGTGCGGGCCTCCAAACCCAACAAAGTCAGCACGACTGCCACAAGCGGGGGCAAGTTTGCAGCTGAGCTGAAAAACTTTGCACGCGTGTTCAACATGGACAAAACTTCATCGCAGGCGGCCGGGGTTGCGAATGGGTTGGGTGGTGGATCTGCACCCGACACGCCCTCGCGTGGGGGCAGGACGCCAACGTCCGGGTCAGTCGACCGCAGTTTTTTGATGGCCTCCACAAACTTGTTCGGACTGAGGGAGACAGTAACTGCTGTGGGCTCGTTGGAGACGCTGGCGATTGAGTTGCAGAGTGCGAGGGGGATGCTGCATGGGTTGTTGCCACCTGAGTCTGCACGGGTGATGGACAGCTACTACTCCCGCACTGTGGATGCCACGCAGGACCTGAAGGAGTGTGCGTTTGGTAATGCTGCCCGGCGTCTACTGAACCAGGTGTGGTGGATTGATGGGAGGTCTTTTCTGGTTGTGGAATTTCAGGCTAATTGTGTTAACAACAAAATGACCAAGTCAATGCTCTTGCATGTGTTTCGGGCAGGTTGGGCAACCTTTCCCAATGACCTGTACTTGGCAACCAGTGCGTTGGTGAAGCACTGCATGGGTTCATTGAACTTGCCTACTGGATCAGTTAGGTCCGCATATTCTCAAGCCTCTCGCGCAAAGTCCATGAGTATTAACACGTTGGCAGCAAGGCAGAATGCTGAGGAACAAGCCATGAACAGGTGTCCATTGCTGCATGTAGTTACCACTTCACAATCTGCAATGATTCCTGTGGCAAAAATGAGCCAAATATGTGCCTTTGCATTTGTTGGGCACTGTCAGATGCTGCTGGCATCCACAATTGAACACTGTGCGATGTTGCACTGTGGCGCCTCCGACAAGCTCTACAAGGTCTTTGCAGACCAGTAGCAACTGGCACTGACTGAATTTCTGAGTTCAGCAGACAATCATTCACTGTTCAGTGTGTTGTTTTCACATTGAAGGTAAAAGTACGTTCATTTGGCTACTTCTGCATAATTTTGTTAGTGGAGAAGAGAGCATTATCAGTGTTTTTGCCAGGAGAGGAGTGCCCCACGCATGGGCCTGTTGCCCTTCTATGTTGGAGCGATCTTCCGACAGCATTCTGCTTTGAATACAGTGTTTCCTTGAACCAAAAGTCACTAGTCTGGCACCCACAAACCAATGAGGGCCACTGTAGAGATCCCCGGTGTTTGCTACGAGAATGTGCTTGATTGGCTCAGGATGCTTCCTGCCTGGTTTGAAACCCCTAGGTGCTGGATCCAAGCCGGGGCACCGCAGTGCAGGTGGCCTCGACCTCCTATGACAAGGACGACCCCTCTGTGTCTCATGCCTCCTGGGCCCATATTCTGGGAGAGCACATAGGCCGCTTCTCAGAGGTGCTGAACTACTCAGGCCTCCCCAAGGGAGTCGTGGGCAAGCTGTGGGAACATGCAATGGCAGTGGTGGCAGAGGTGGTTGTGGATGGTCTCTCGAGAGTGGAGAAGTGCAGCATGGCAGGGCGGTCCATGATGTCCGTTGACCTGTCGCACCTGGAGAACAGCTTCAGGCTACACGTGCCTGATGGTGTGCAGGTCTGAAGCTTCACGACAAGTATTTCTACTTCTTCTTAATTTTGGTACCATCACATAATTGCTGTATTTGTGTTTTGCAGCAGCAGCAGCAGCAGCAGCAGCAGTGCCATTCAATGCTGGAAGTCAGTTTGGTATTCTTCTTTTGCCAGGAAACCAATTAAATAGCCCTCAGCTGTGTATTGAAATATTCTGGTGCTGCTTGTGGCTGGATATGCTGTTGGTCATAGTTGCAGATTGAGCGTGGATCATACTGGCTTTCTTTCTGACATCCTGACCAATGCTGACCAAGCGTTGGCTATTCATTGGGTAGGCGATGCTGGTGGTGTGGCCCAGCGCACTGTTCTTTGTTATTTCGTTGTCTGTATTCCACCACTGACATCTAAGCTTGGCGTGCAAATTCTCTAGATGGCCAAAGTCTGCGATCCACGGTTCTGCCAATAGCATATTTTGAGCAGTGCTCTATCTTGCAGTTGGGCGAAAACCAACAACTGACTCGTTTTAGCACTTGGGCCCTCAAATGTGATGTGAAAGCACCAAAAACAGCTACATGTGCAGGTGGCCTGATCATCCGATATGTGAAAAAGGCAATGATTTGTCACACTTGTTGATGTGACATCAAGTCGTCTGGGCCACAAGCTAGAAGCATGCAATAGGTAGGGTTGTGGCAACCAAGCAACAGCCCATAGGGCCGTCCATCAGCAACAGCACATGCCATGGCACCAGAGCATTTGCTGCTGTGAAGAGGGCAACGCATCGCCTTGACTGTGCAAGTGCAGTTTTGTTTAATTCGCAACAAACATTATCAGAGTGGAGTTTGATGTGTGCAGCAAATGTGGATTTATGCAGGTCAACCTCCGAGCCGTGGACACATACATCAAGGCCTTTTACCTGCCGTGGGAGGACCTGCCCAAGTGGGCAGCCACGCACCAGGCTGAGTACGGTCGCACCAAGATCCTGGCTCTGGTCAACCTCATCGCAGAGCGGCTGGTCACTGTCGAGCATCGGCAGCTGAAGCGTGGTGACATCCGGGCCATGACGCAGCAAGTCGAGGCACAGATCGACCAGTTCATGGCATAGTGCATGTGCTGGTACAGTGCTCTGTTGAATTGGAAGCCATGGCTTCACAATGGTGGAACTACATTGTGGATGTGTTCGTCCGGTGGACAGAGCACAGCCCCTGGACCGGCAGGTGATGGTGGGCTTGGGCAATAGTCAGGGTTGGCTGGAGTGTGAAAGGTTTGCAGTGTACAGCGTTCAGTGGCTAGGACCATGCCTGTTGTTACGGCTCTCGCTCCCTGTTGATGGCCTCTGTTCAGCAGTGCTCAGGATTCCTGTGGTTGTAGCATTTGTAGGGCTCCAGTGCTTCGCTATTCATGCTTTAGTTTAGGGTTTCGGAAAGGGTTAGTACTGCAGCAACTCACCGCAAGCAATGCCGCTGGCAACAGCCCTGGTGAGCGATCGAGGCAGAAGCAGCACATGAGCAGGCCGAAGGATGCCAGAACTGTGGACCGCACGGAACATGCGAACTATTTCTAGCGACACCAGAAAGTGGGCCTTGCCGTTAGTTCTGGGTCGTGCTGGCTGTGGTTCACCTCATCGAGTTCCTCTTCACCGCATTGTTTTGGGGTGTAGTCGTATGCACGACTCATAGCAGGATGAGGGTGGCCCATGAGGGAGGGGAGCGCATGACCCCCCATGGTGGTTTGTGGCTGGGTACACCATATTGGCCAAATGTGCTTCCAGTACTTTATGTGCGCATGCAGCTACTTTATTGCAGGTGAGAGGCTTGCGCTTCTGAGCGGAGGCTGCGATGTATCTCATGCTGCGCTGCCTTTTGACACGATGAATGGTAGGTTGTTGACGAGGTGGGAAGTGAGGTCAAGCACCCTTTTTTCTGCTGGTTGCCTCATTCTTTGTGCAAAATTTCTGATTTCTTTCTTGATTGGCACGGGTGTTCAGTGCGGGCCAATGGCGCTCCCCATTGGCCACCTTCTTCGACTTGGCTGAAGCACAGCATGTACTCATAGCCATTGAATTTATATTAATATTAGTATTGTTAAAACAGCCATTGTCATCGTTCCTCGTCAATCAACGGCTGGCACATGGCCGACATATTGCAACTGATTGATTGACACAACGCCGTATACCCGTCAGTCCATGGCATGGACAGCTGCTGAATGGTGCTGAAAAGCAAGCCAACGCCTTTGTTTGTATACTACTGTAGTATGAATGACAGGGCATGAATGACTAATTAAGAATCAGTGAGTAGTTGGGATAATGGATGGCATGGGATTAGAGGTCCACATCGGGATTGGAATGCCATCAGGTGCGCACCTGACTGCATACAGGTAAATCTATTTTTTTGAGAATTCTGCCAACTTGGCGTTGTTATTTGGTTAATATGGCAAGCCTAGTAATTGTTCTATGGCACCAATTTTGACTTGGTTTGGAATAAATTTTTAAGGAACAAAATGCACTTGCTTTGAGCATAGCCAGAGGTGTGGAGTCTCCCAAGCATTGTATGATCACCTCAGAGAACCAAGCTTGGTAGCCCAACTGATCACACAGCATACACCAAGCACTTGGGAAAAATCACGGTGAATTAAATCCGGTCAAGAGGTCCCTCCAGTAGTGGGCAACCCTATGCGATCGCTCATTATTGTAGACAACACATCACAACAAACAAGGCAACACGATGCAATGCATGGACGCTCAATCATTACAACACATTTGGCAAACAAAGGTGCGCTAGACCCAAAGAAATCAAAGGCACATGGCAAACACATGGAAGAACAAATGAACTATAGAGCAGTACTGAGCTGTGGGAGGTAACGCCCGGACCGGGACCGGGACTGGTCTTTGCCAGGGTCCTGTTTGGGTCCGGTCCCGGTCCTGGTCTAGCCCAGTCCACCCGGTCCAAACTCAGTCCTTGTCCAACCCCAGTTCTGGTCCAGCCCAGTCCACCTGGTCCAACCCGGTGTTTTTCCGGTCCTGGAACTTTTTTTTGGTCCAGCTTTGGACCGGGCTGGCACCGGGCACGGGCCGGGGCTAGGCCAGGTGTGCCCTGGGGTCGGGGCTGGGTGTGGACCGGATAGGTCCGGATAGGGCCTGATTCCGGTCCTGCCCAGTCCGGTCCAATCTAACCTAGTCCAGTCCGGTCCACCCCGGTCACATCCCGGCTGACTCGGCCAGGCTCCAACCAGCTGCCCCACTGCCATAGCTCCAACTTGCCGGCTCTGTCCGGCAAAGAGGTTGTGCCACCCACGGTGGCTTGGAATGGCTTCCACACACGACGCGAGCGTTTGCAATGTGCTGGAAGTGCGGCGGGATTAGCGTCTTGCGAGCGCCCTTTCCCTCCACCCATGGTCGCCTAGAATAGCAACCGCCGATGGTGGGAATGGGTGCACTCAAGAGCCGAGATGCGCCACAAGATTGCCACCTCGCCGACGGCCAATCATGCTGGCCGCGCTATGTTGAAACAGCCCCTGCTGGTGGCGCGAATGGGTGTCAGCAGGGTGCAGTAGGGCCCCTCAGATTGGCGCCTCACGGATGCCCATTTCTGCCTTTGGCGGGGGTCTAGAATGGCCTTTGTCAGTGGCAGCCAGGCATGCCCACAAGGCTCCAGATGAGATGTCGGCTGGCGACCTGGGGCTGCCCTCTCCCGCCAACCGCGGTCGTCCTGAATGACCTCATTGAGTGGCGGGAATGGGCGCCCCACGAGTCACGAAATGCGCCCCATGACCTGGCCTCGCGGCCGCCCATTCACTCCACCCACAGCCGCCTGGAATGGCATCTGTGGGTGGCGGGAACGGGCACCCATGAGGAACGAGAGGCACGACCAAGTTTTGTTCACCATAATTGGCCCCTTGCGGATGCGTGAGGTCGATGCCCAGGCTTCTCTGGGCTTGTGCACTCTGTCCTCTAGGTGGAACTGTGGCCGCCCTCATCCTCACCCAGTTCTGACTAGGACAGGGGTCAGGACCGGGCGAGGGCCAGGTCAGATCCAGGGTCAGCTGGGCTGGGGGTCGGGCTCAGACCGGGCACTGTACTGCCCAGGACCGGGCACTGTACTGCCCAGGACCGGGCACAAGACCAGGGTTAGCGGTGCAGGCTCAGTCTGGCCCCGGTCTTAGTCCAATCTCGGTCCGATCTTGCCCAACCCTGGCCCGGTCCTGACCTGGTCCTAACTGATTTCAGGGCAGCCTACTGCAAGGCCGGAACTGGACTTTTCCCCAGTTCCGGTCCCGGTCCCGGTCCCAGTCCCGGTCTTTGTCCGGTCCCGGTCTTGGCAGGCACAACTCTGCTCTATAGACACAGAAAACCTTGGGAATAGGTTCAGGGAAGAAGGCGGGAGGTTTGCTGGCTGCCGTTGTGCCACCTGATGGCCATGGTGCTAGGCACCAGTTCATCCACAAATTGAGCCACGTGGCCGTTGGCAGTGAGGGCCTCCTAGTGCCATTAGTTATGCGGATTTGCCATTCTAACAGCTAAACGGGCTAACTAGTGACCCTATTACTGAGTGTGCCATCAATAAAGTTGCCCAGTGCCGTTAGTGTCAATGGCATCTTGTGGCGTTGGGTTTGTGCTATGGGTGCCATTAAATAACGGCCTGCAGCACCGACCTCTATATGGGATGCCGTATACATTATGGAGCGACTTTGGGGTACACCCTATGTGCACAAGGCAGAACCACTACTGTTGGCCTAAAAGCATGGCAAGAAATGATGGAAAGGTAGACTACTAAGGGACTGGTCATGAGGGTGCCACTTCTTTTACGGTAAGAGAATACAAATGGCGTAGCCTCGATGGGGACACCTTTGGAGAAGGCGACACAGAGCAGGACACTCAAAAAAAGGGCAATATGGCAGTTAGAAAGAACAGCATTGACAAGAAGTCATGTTATTAAACGGGAACCTTGAAAAAGGGCGGCAAACATGTATGGCAGCTGTGTTGTGCATTAAACACCTGTGTGAGATTTTATTCAGTCCCATGAACACGCGTTGAGGTTGTACTTGAGCTGATGTCCTGTGAGCCTGTACTTCGGCTTTCCATCGTTCATTTCATCTATGGCAACTCCAGGAATTTCCTCTTCCTGAGCAGACTGAATATCTGCCAGCGCCTATCCTCCTCAGCCTCCCTGTCGCCCCCGGGCATGTCTGACAATCCCGCGATTCTGTCATCTAGGTACGAAGCAATGTCTGACTTTTCTGCCATGATGCGGGGCTCATAGCTGGACAACGCTTCTACAAACCTCTTTCTCATGTGCTCTACAACGGTCTTCGTAAATTCCTACGGCATGAAAATCTTTTAATATATATATTTTGAACTGCACCCCTGAAAGCAATCAAATCATAAAGCACGGATGCGTGGGGCATCAAAACGGAGCCGAAGATATGCCGATGGTAATGCCACGACAAAAATGAACTTTGCAATGAACAGGTGATGGTAATGAACACTAGAAGAAAAAGGACCAAATGACACTTTTGCCGAACACGTATGTATACATTTCACCAGTGTTCTGCAGGTAAGTACACGAGAATAACCCAAACGTTTGAACACGTGCTATTTGGCCATTTTTTCCTGGTGGAACCGGCTCGGAATTGAATATCCCATTCCTGCAACTTAGAACTGACAAGCAGATATCTTGAAAGAATGAAAATGAAATAACGCAATAGACAGAAACGAAACAGCATGAGAGCATAGAGGTGAGTATACCCGTGGGTCGGGGTTCAATTCTTGAGTTTCCCCCTCGCCCCCAGGGCCGTCCCTCAACCCTTCCTCCTTCGCTTTCTCTGCCATTTCCTCCCTTATTCCAGCCACTGTCTCATCCATTCCTTCAACGGCTGCAAGGACCACGCACCTGAACAAACATTACCGAAAACACACCCATGCATCATATGAGATTATGGCAACGAACCCTTGGATTGAATGATTCCCGCCATCGACTGTGAATCACGATGTAATAAATCGCCACGACCAGTCGCTTCACCGGTAAATGGAATTTTCGCGCACAGCACTAGACATGATGGGCAGGCAGCGCAAATTGGCGGTTCAAAATTTGGTTTGTCTCTGAATTGGGTGTTGAGATTTTGTTCGTGCACACATCTATCAGCTGGACCTGGCTATGGCGTTCATAACATAATGCAGATCGACGCTTGTCCATCATGGATGCGGTGGGCCTAAGGCATCGCTTCACCGTTTTGCACGAAGAGAAAAAAGTGCTGAGTGCCTGTAATACCGCTTGTGTTTCTCGTGCTCTAGCCATCTGGAATATTCATATAAAATGAGGGGCACAGCCACATTCACAGTGCCACCCAAAGCATGCAGGGATTGTACACCTCATGACGCGATGGCGGATGAGGCGCTCATCCGCTGGCACCCTCATGCCCGAGACCACCTCCTCCACCTCTCCAGCCATTCGCCCTGCGCCTATCGAAGCCCCGGCCTCCTTTGGCGCAGCGTCATTGATGATTGCCAAAAGGTCGTCCAGTCCGCCTGACCACGTCTCAGGCGGCAGGGGCGGTGCCTCCACCACCGGGTCGGCGGGTTTCTTCTTTCCCCCTTAAGCAGGATATGGAAATGTTCAATGCGCTGTCGCCGCTCCAACGATGTCCTGCCACCGCGCTGGCGTTGTCACTGCCGCTGCCACCTTTACACCTTCGCTTACATGTACTTACTGTTGTGATGATCGCAGCCGAACATGATGGGATATGTTGCTGATTCCCGATTTTCGTCCAACAACATACCGTAGCATATTCACCCCTTCCGCACGGTAACATAACGTTCGCCCTTTTTCTGCAGAGATGGCAATAAAATAAGTAACGCTATTTTAGTAAAATTTTTGCGAAGGACGCAAAAAAAACGCTCTGAAACAAATGCGGAGCAGAAAGCATAACGGTAAATTGTTTGATGCGGAATGGTTGAATATGCTACGGTACTTGCCAGATGGGCAATTGCTGCTTTGGCTGCGACCTGTTGAACCTAGCCGGCGGATTGTGCATTTGGCAAAGCAGCTGCTTCTTTGAAGCAATTCACATTGTGCCGCTCACTACGCCACGCTGACGCTCAAAACGCATAACTTATTGCTTGAGATGCACCACCCATAACTAGCAAAGTGGTCTAATGGGGAATTACCAGGGCTGAGAGGATTCGTTCGCTAATTACGTGCAGCAGCCTTCGAAGAGCATTATGGGAATTCCGCGTTTATCTTTTCCTATGCGCAAATACACTGTACTCAGTTTCTGTGCAGTTCTTTGCGGGTCTTCTTGCAACCTGGTTTTGGTGCAAGTTCGTGTATTCTTTACCATATCCAGTGCCGCGCCTATGAGACTGTAAGATATAAAGCCGTAATTCAAGAAGATACAGCCCAAGCCTATGGTCCCAGACTTTAATGGCACCGAATGAGATAGAGGACCCGTCTGGGAATGCTGCGCAGAGGGAAATTGGTACCAGGCAGCCCCGCCCCGTTCCTGTTTGCCGCCGCCGATGTTCGACAGGAAATGTGGGACCCATCCCCTTGCTGCACACTAAAAATATACCAAGGCAGCATCGCCTATGCCCACTCGCCTGTTCCTGGCTGCACCCAGCGCTGGAGGGGAAACTGCGTCCCACTCGCGCAGGCTGCGAGGCAGCAGTGGCGACACTGAGCATGGCCGCAGCTTCCCCTCCTTCGACAGCAAGCCGTACTTTATCTTTACTTTATACTTTATACTTTATCCGACGCCATCGCCCAAGGCAACCGCGCCATCCGCGGCAGCGGTAGAAGTCGGACACCATCTATGGACCGCCCATCGCGCCACCCGCACCGAACCGTTGCTGAGAATTGGCACCACAGGGAAACATGCAACCGGTACAATTGTGACTGCCCAAACGTTGTTCTGGGACATCAGAGCTGTTTCGGCTAACAATGGCTCCTTTGAGCACCACAAGCAAGGGAGCTGACATCGTCATTTCCATCTCGTTCCATTCTGTTTATCACATTGTTTGAAGAAAGACGCGTGGGAATTTTCTTCGAAACTTCTGTGCCGGGTCGCGGACCGCAACCATTGCTGCCAGTACGTTCATTTACCTTCCGCGAGATTGCCTTGGAAATGGCTGCACATCCTGGATAACATAACACTCTAGGAAAAAGTCCCATATCCTGGGTACTACGCAGGATGTGGGCATATACCAGTATATGACCGCCCATGGAGCCTGTGTCTCCATAATATGGCCGCATCCTGGATATTCATATCGGCGATATGGCGCCCATGCCATTTTCGATATCCAGGATGTTCCCCCACCCACCCGCCCCCCACCCCACGGTCCTATTCCATGTATTGTTTTTGAGATTACTGCCGACGTATCTTTCCAAGCTTTCCTATCCGCCACAGTTTGTGACCGGTGACCACGTCACATGTCACTTCCATCTAGGATTGTCCGTTTGATTGGGCTTTCGGTCCCAGCACGTCGGTGGCTGTCAAGGGGATGGGCGATTCCCTCCGTTTTAATAACAGAATCAGTCCTGAAATGATCTTACCTCGTGCCCAGAAAAACTCTCAAGAACGCATGGCGCACCACATACATGACACCACCGCAACTGTTTGAATACAAGCGATCAACATTATGTTGATATTTTGAAGTGATTAAATGGTCCTTTGAGTACAGCTAGTAGTAGTACAGTTGACAACAAACAGACAAGTGAAACGAACCAAAGGGTATCTGAAAATCAATGCTTCCCCTTTTGGGACTTGATCTGGCTCCCTCTTCATGGATTCCACCAAAAAATTGAATCTAATCATCCAGAAAGAAATCTCCGGTTCTCAAATCTTTCCGGCCAGGACTTCGGTGTCTGTATGGACGTGAATCCAAATCAAATTAAATATTACTTAAGTTGAAGCCATCTGATATATGCGTTGTGCCGTTGTTGCACCTTTTTTAGCTTTCACAGGCTCCTCCTGCGGCGGCTCGACCACTGCTTCTCTGCATCTGTCGTACAGCCTTTCCAGCCTCTCGTAGTCTTTCCGCGCGTAGTAAATCACGGGTCTAATGCCGATATTCTCCGCTTCGAATTTCTCCCGCTGACGTTCCTCAACGGCGTGGATTGACTTGGGGGCGGCGCGCGGCGTCCGCACGCTGCGAGTAATATGGCTCAATGCGGCTTCCACCTGCAAAAATTAATATTTTCGTCCATTAGAGTTTTTACGTGTTTGCCGTTTTTGGGTTCGCTCTTGCTTGGATTAAAATTTTTGAGAGGAAGTGCATTGAGATTCCCACATTTTTGCATCGGTAAGTTATTGATCAAGTAGTTTCTGCATCTTGATGGTGAAATTTTTACTCATAAATCTAACGGAAAGTACCAGAGCTTTTCTTGTGATGCATTTCACAGGCAACGTGCAACACCAGTAGCCATTTTGCATCGAACTCGAATCAGTACACTAGTTTCATATTTGTGCAAGTCCACATCATTTCATCACTGTAAATTTTGAATCTCGCTGACTTTGACGTGTGCGCATTCTTGGAGCTACTCAGACAAACTAATGGCAAAGCTGCCCTCATGAGCTCTTTGAATGCCTTCGAAATGCGAAGGAATCGATATACAATAATGGGCGACTATCCTTATCTGAATGGCCTAGATGGCTAGGAACTGGCACGAATGTCCCATTTTTCCAATTTTGATGGAAACCAATGACTGACTGAAGGGGCCACGTCATAATTCAAACTCTGCTTTAGAGGCAACATCGGCTAACAACGGTGATGTGTGTGCGATTGCATAGGTTATGATGGCTCATGTGGTCTGGGACATGTAGTATTCACACAATGCCAACGAGTTCAGCTTTATTATGTAGGTATTAGATTACCCTTTCAGCAGCTTGTTTTGAGCGGAAATTTGCACTGACAGATCGTTCTGCGCTGTTGCAACACGTTTTTGAGGCACTCGTTTTCCGGAGCTTGTTTGCTCCTCTGCAATTGCTGCTCACTGCTCGATATGCGGTTTCCATTTAATACCGTACTAAAACCGTGTTTGTTCTGCACTCGAAGCTACTAGACATTACATGGCTCAGAGGCACGCGCCTTTCGGAACTTTTCTTTCCTCTCCAGCTCCTTGATGATGTTGGATCTTCGGAAGCTGTGGTCGTCAAATGCGACTGCCATGCCTCGCAGGGTAACGACAGGGGGCGGCCTCTCAAGCCCCGGCGCAATCCGCACACTCCATTTCTCGACGAAGATCCCCGGCGAGTTGGAACGAAAGGCGAATCTGCACAAAGCACTGAAGCTGCTGAAATACACTCTGCTGATGTCGCGTTACTTTAATGACGTGCTAATCTAGAATGCGACCTCATCCTGAGCACGAGGCGGCATCGAACACTATCCGTTGGATACGAGATACGCAACGCCAGGCAACTCAAAAAGCTGCAGTCAATGGCGTACTTTTGTGCAGGTATTCGATCACATTCAGTCATGGCTTCAGCAGGACGTTTTCTCAAACACATCTTCCCTGTTCAGGACATCATCCCTCCTGATGTATTCATGGGCAAATTTGAGGGCTAGCCTGGGTGTGTTTATGCCAATATGCAATAATTACTAGCAAGCAAGCCTCAGTCCATTGACCTTAGGCTTTGTAAATTCCACGAATCGACCACAGATGTCTCCTCTGAAATCCTTCAGATCCTTCAGAAATCTTAAATAGTCTACACATTTTTGGCAACCATGGGGCAAATTATTATTGGATAGCAGTTCATGCCACGCGGCTGCCCGCGTATGATATGGAATCGTGCATCATGAGGAAAAGGCGCTGTGCGGGAACGTCGGCTTTTACTCACGGCGCAAAGGTATTGAGTACAGCTCATTGATCACCATATTGAGTGCTGCCTGTTATAGTGCTTTAGGCTCAGGTGTGCTCATCGCTGGCTCGGACAGCTTTCACGTCGCACAGTTTAGTCTAGAACTTAACTCTTGCGCTACCAACGATTGGCAGCACTCGACCGCAGAAATTCTTGCACAATCAACGCGCAGCGCGTTCTAGATTTGTCGAATCGAGCATCCCAGCATTGCACTTGTGAAGCTCCACTGCGCAATGGAAGTGGACAGCTCATCCGGAAACACACGTATTTCATGTATGAATCCACATCCATTATTCATGTATGAATCCACATTTTTCCTTCGCGTTTTGTATACCTAGTTATAACCTGCAGGGATGGTATACTCGGCACGCCGGCGCAATTAGCGAGCTCCGAATGCGCGCAAGGAGACTCACCAACTTGCATATCTTTGAACTAGACACAACTGACGGTCCACCTGAACTCCTTGGACGCCCCCGGCAACACGGCGCCCTTGGCGTCGTACAGGAAGAACCGCCTCTCCCGGCGGGCGCCGCCCGCCACCTTGGGCATCTCCGGCACGCCCTCAAGCCACTCGTAGTACAGCGCCGTGGTGCCCACGTTCTCCAGGGTGAGCGCTCTCTCGGAGATATCCCCCCTGTTGGCGTGGAATAGCAGTCGGTCGCTGCTGAGCGCCATGAGCGGACCCCTGCAGTCCGGGCCGCCCGCCTCGCTCTCGGCCTCCTCCACCGATCGGTTGCCCTGCTGCAGGGCTTCCTGGGCAGGGCGAGCAGGCGGTCGAAAAGAATGCGACGAAGCCAACTTCTTTGCCAGGAAGCGATGTGAGCATATTTTCCATTTTTGACAGCTGTCGAGAAAAAGGTTGTCAAACGTGCGTGCAGGCATGTGCTGGCGGAAGCATTTGGAAAATGGAGTGGTTGCAATCGTATATGCATGCGCGTGACGCGTTGCGGTGGACGTCGCCGGTAGGATTGCGTAAGAATCGAGAGGCAACTGCCGGATGTTCATTCGCACAATGGCCGCGCAAAAGCGCGTACCACGTCTGCGCGTTCCCAAGTGGGGAGCTCCCAAAGGGTGAGATTTTTCGTCCAATACTTGCATTCTCGTATCAACTACTTTGCTTGGTGACCGCATCAGCACTTTTCAGGTGAAGCTGTTAGCGACAGATTTTGCGGAGGACAATTTTGTCCAAATTAATTTGTTTTAATGCCAATGCGCCCCTGCGGCATGTTCAAAACTATCATTTTGTTTGATGCTCACCTGAACAGCCTCCAGCGCCTCAGGATTTGTGGCCCTTAGTATTTTTTCGATGTCCTTCATGGTGATCTCGCGATTGACAGCCTCCCAAAGCTTTCCCTCTATCCCTTCTCCAACCACCTTCAGGCCTCCCATATCGGGATCGTGAGGTTGCAGTTTCTGTTTGATCCAGTGACCCTTGTCAGCAAGGCACCCTTGTACTTGTTGCCTATCGCTTTCGACATCTCCACTGCTGCTTGCAAAAGTCATATACCCTGTTGACATTAGAGCGGATAATAGAATTGGATCATCTGTAGTGACACAGCTCCAGAATGGCTTCAAAGTACAGAAAAGTTCCACTCCATTTTACAAATTGTATTCTGAATACCATTGTAGTTGACTTGCGTTTTTCTTTGGGCGCTTAGGAATGATTTAATCGCTGATTCAAACCACATTAAATCAGAATCAATCGTACTACGATTAGGTACTTGAAGAGGCCCTGCTCGCTGCACCTGCATGTACTTGGAGTAGGCTGCCTGTTGATTTGCAAGCCACTCAGAATCAGACCAGCTTCGCCCCCTGTGTTTCAGGGATCTGGCGCCGGTCTTCGAATTGGCGGGATTGCCGACCGAAGCGCCTCCTCGCAGTGAAGCCAATGCTGGGTCCATTTCTGCGTCGACGTGCTTGTGCACCTTGAGGAGTTCCCTGCATTTGCAGGCTGCCAACACTCAGCGCCCGCTGTCTCAGGTCTGGCATGTGTCCACCAATTTTTCATTTTCTATCACCTTTTGTTGATCAACCACATGTGCTGTATCTACCATGGACTCGGGGACCTTGTGCCATCCTTTCTCTAAGAACCGAGGGGAAAGCAATCTTGAGGCTACGCCTGTGCTTGGAACCAAATGTTCAGAGACGTTGACAGTGTTTGCTGAGAAGTGAGGCAAATGGTTTGCTATTGGTGGAACATTTCACACCCGAAAATCGAACCAAATGTGGCCGGACCATAACCCACCATTTGCTTGTCATGGTAAGTAGGTGTGCAAAGCATTAATTGCTTTGCAAAGTAAATCTACCAAATACCACATAATTAGATGTGGCAAATTTAATTTTGTTCCTCTACATATATTTGCAGAATTCATGCCACCGCCAAGACCACGCATTTGGTTGCAGAGCGATTCACGATATGCCAGAAACTATCAGCATATTGGGGCTCGTGAGGCTCAATCACGCAACTAATTTCGCAAAAGAGTTGTTCCGAATTTGAAGAAATCCTGGAAGTACCAACGAATTTACACTTTGTATTCAAAATTGATTCGCCATGGCCTCGGAACGCATGGAAAATTTTCGAACCTGGCGGCGCTGGTCCAAGCGTGGGTGGCCGTGCACTGACCTGGAATCCTTGACACTGGGTTTGTCGTACAGCGCAATGAAGAGCCCGCTGAACATGCCGCCGACCGGCACCCATCGCTCCCAAGCGTCTCGCAGGCTCATCCTCCACTGCTCCGGCCCGTGCCCCCGCGACTCCAGGGGTATGGACTTCAGCAGGTGTTCCAGCGCCTCCTCGCGGGACCTCCACTCCCAGGCTGGGCACAGTGCGCAAAACCGAGGGGCATTGAGACATCCGCGCATTCGCGTACAACAAGTCGATGCGCCGCTGCTGTTGTGCCTGTGGTCGAAACGGGCGAATAAATAATGTGTCAAAGTCATATTTATGAATTTAGGAAGCCTGGCTTTACTGACAAGTGGGCCGCGAACACCACAACACGAAAACCATGGGGCCACGGGGCGATGTCGACCATGCCGATCTTCCATGTTGTTCTGCAGCTGAGCATATGTTTACATCTGCTCTTTACATAACAGAAACGTATGGCATTAATGAGCGTTATTCCATAAGTGCTTCTGATGTCAAAACATGCTCTATTTTTTGCCCGAAACAACGGCTACAATGTTGTTATTCGTTAAATGCTCATGGGAAAAACATTAATCAATGCACCCACCTCGCTCCATGGCCAGGTCGCCGACTGGGCGACCGGTTTGCGACGAAAGTCTCGACGCCAGCTTTCCCCACTCCACCTGCTGCTCTCGCCATTTATCCATGACCCTGCCTCCGCCAGACTCCTTTGTGGCGTCGGAAATGGTGGCCCTGATAACATTCTCACGTTTGGGAATCAAGGGACAATTTCATACATGTCTCATTGTGGTCGTTGAAAATGCCATTATTAATTGAAGCGATATCATCAGCGAGAGTATCTTTAAATGCAATATTAGAATTGTATTGCTACTGGGAGTGGAGTGCTTTATGAAACGTGCACCATGGATTGATTGCAATCGAAGGAAAATAGATTTCATCCAAGTTGATGCCACCATCGATCTGTGCAAGTCACACGTGTCTTCCTTTGCGGATGGGCAAGTAGCCATTGCGCCGTTGCCGCACCTCCCCTCTCGCAAAGTTTCGATGTGACTTTTCACCAGGCCCCTGCGTACACATGAGATTGCAAAATGAGCGAGCTGATTCACAGCATTTTTGCGAACTCCCTGAAGTATAGCGACCTGCGGTGTCCAGCACAGCCAAGTGCCCATTGCGCATGCGGATTGCACACTTCATGTCAAGAAGGGCCAATCACCAATCGACGGGGATGAATTGACCGATTAACATCATCTTCATCAAAATCCATGGATTACGTTTGTCACAAAATGACAAAAAACAGCCCGTGCACAATGTAGGCGATGATGGGGGTGAAAACCAAGCAGATAGTGTGTTCGGAGTCGATTACTCATGGTCCCATATCGCCACTCCCTGTTGTTCCATGAAATGCAGTGAGTTGGTATGAGCAAGCGGGCGCAGCGGCCTGGAGATAGCAATGAAATATTCGCAGTGTGAGTTAACCGCATCCACAGCATTTCGTTCGGCATTCTGTCTTTCACCTGTCTTCTGTCAGCTGTTTGTAGGCGTCCAACAGCGCTCGGCGCATTTCGGGCACCCTGCACAGTGCCGATTTCAAATCTTCCGGAAGATTCTCCTCAGGTACATCGTCGCCGAGAGGCTCACAATCCCCTTCCAATGACCGAACATCCCCTTGGACCTCCTGGTCTGCGACAACTGGAGATTCGACTTGCGCATTCGACATCGCACTCTCGAATTCTCGCAAGGATCCCAGAACCTGATGTGATCTCAGGCGTCCCACATCTCTGAGATCGCGGAGAGTTCTCGTCGATGGGTCTGGCGCCCATGCGCTCCTTCGGTGCCCGTCGACTTCGGCGGGGAATTTCTCAACAGTCATTGTTGGCGATCCCGCGAATGGGAATGTTGAAATATGCTTCTGTTTTTCCAATTGTGTCAATCCGCATTCATTCGCCGATTTCCAACTCGT